ACAATACATAAGGCACCTAGGTGGTACACACGGCGCTTATCAGTGAAGCCACACGTGATGACAGGGTACCCAAGATCACTGAGTTTAAAAGTCGCGTCCAGATGAAAAATTAGGAAAGGTTCCGCTCGTTGTAGTGCACGAATGCCTCGCAGCAATTTCATTGTAGTGATGCCCAAAATCAACGGTTGCTCGTCCTCTCCATTTCCCACAAACGGGAAACCGTTTTCGTCTTCAACGTTTCCAAATACACAAGCAGTCTCAAGGTCAATGTCCGCCTCATAAGCCTTAGAATGCGCCAGCTCCTTCACTCGTTGTATTGAATTTTTGCTTCCTTGAAGCCAGCGTATGTACCTAACGCTGCGTTGTACCTGGGCGTACGATGGGTAGCCCAGGGCCGGTTTCAGGATGTCAGGAGCTCGCAGGAGGTTACTCCAGATTAGCCGAGGTGGTACTGCATTTTCGTCCATTCGGTGGGATGTAGGCTTTCATTTCGGGTGTAACCTTAGGGCGTGGTGGCACGGCACACTCAGTGTCGCCAGGTGAGGCTTTCCGTTGCTAAGAATGACCCAAATAGATGCTGTAGGGCAGTGACGGACCTTCCAGCGAACAGGGCACTTTGTACATGACACGCTATTCTCACACGTTACACTCTTGCAATGAAGGTGTCGCTCGATCATTTCATGATCACCCGGACAAATTGAGCAGACAAGTGGCATCACACCGCGCACTACCGAGCAGCAGAAGACTTGCCATCGGTAACTAACAAATTCAGCCTCAGTTCTGCATTGTATTACCCTTGACCACGCTTTCGAAGGGGGCATCGAATCTGCGATGTGGTGGTTCAGTGTCTGGAGATATGGCTAAACTGAAATGGGTGGCGGGGTACGCTGCACGTGGCTGTGACGCATGGGCGTCACGGCAGTCCACTCCTTGGACGCGTGTCCTCCATGGGCCAGTAATCTGCATATTAATGGACATTTTGGCTTCTTTGTGCACACTATTGTCATTTCGTGTCTACTGACGGCTGATACATGTCTATTGGCGTATCAAAATATGTCTACTGACGACCTAGACTCTGTTCTCACTGAGAGCGAGCCGCCCACCTCGAAGTTGACTCACGAAAGATTAGAAACGTCGTCCTTTCGAGCACCCCGAGGATTAATTTTAATTGAAAGTTCACCTTCCAGCTGTAAACTAGCCCCAGGTGGCTTCTACGAAAATCGCTCAAAATGAAAGCTCCACCCGAAGTGTTCATGTGAGACGACCTCGGAGTGAGCCGGTCGCAAGCTTCCACCAGTCGTGTGTGAATTCACTTTCCGTAAGCTTAATTGGCATCGAAGTTACTGGTATGAATCATTGTTTAAGAGTTTGTACCTGCATGCACTGTTTAACATGACTAAGGCTACAATATTTTTAAGAATTCCAGAATTCCATGTATACGGCAAAATCCATATAAAAAATCCGTTTATGATAAACGGTATACCCGTGTGCAAAATCCCGATAGAAATGCGGCGGCGGCATCCAGTGTCTTTCTCCGCGGAAAGCCGCGGCTCTGAGCCTTGCATCGTCGTCTCCGATTCATTCGCACGTCGTCGCCGGTCCTTCGTGCTTCGCTCCGCCTTCCCGAAGGTCTCCAAGCCTAAGAAACCCCTTAGAGAAGACTCTACTCATACCAACTCCAACTCATTAAGCGGCAAGCGACGACGCAGTATCCAAGACGTCACTGAACCAGTCTCCGGTAGCCATTTGAAGCTACAGCGCTTTGCTCCGACGCAGCGATTGGTCGACGATCGCGCAGACTTCTGCCTGTACCTGGAGCTTCAACTCTCAACTAAACAGGCGCTCGAAGATGCCCATGCACTCGTCCAAGTGACGGCCAGAGCGCTACGTGCTGCTGGCTGCAGTGTATCTGTCCACATGCTACAAGCCCCCGACTCTGAGGTGCTAGCTGTCAGTGAGGAAGAAGCACAGGCGTATGCCTTAACTATAGGCAGTGAAGTACCCGACCAAAGCGTCACAGAGAAAGGAGAATGGGCAGGTCGTGTGGCCATGCAATTAGCTCCATGGGTGACTCAACATCCAGACTATACCAGCCACGTATTGCCCCTTACGGGTGCTGCACAGTGTCAAAGACTGTGTAAATTGATACTCACCGAGCTTCGACTCGAGTTGGATGTGTGTTGCTTACATGAAGGAGGTCATAGTACTCAAGCGAATAGTACAAGTGCTCCAGTATTACTCAGTGCCAGAGAGAAATTACTACCGCAAGTTATGAGGGCCAAGACGTTCACCAATGTGATGCTATACCCGCTACATCGGGACGAAGCGAGACGCCAGTTGACACGCCGATGGGGAGCGCAGAGTGCGCTAGCGCTGCCTCCTTTGCAGGATATCTACGCGTATTTTGGACCGAGAATCGCCATGTATTTCGCCTGGCTGGCGTTTTATACAAAGATGCTGGTATTACCCGCAGTGTATGTCGTTGTAGTGCATGTGCTGTGCCAGCTAAATCTGGCCCCGAGCTGCTCTGTGCACTGCGTTTGAGTCGCAATTGGCACGTCGCTAATGGCGGCATATGTGTAGACGTCGACAGCGTGCAGTAGAGTTTACATGAGGTTACGATGGTGATACTCTCGTCTCTACATGCCACGACGAGGG